ACTTTTTTTTATAAAGACATGACAAATAAATCATAAATCCATCTAAAATAATCAGTAAAAAATTAGATACTCCAGTACGCTTTATAATCAGTGCCACTGGCTTGATCTTTGAGAGGGGCGACGGCAAGCGCGCGATTCCTACAAACACACCGGTGACTATCTGGTTTCATTTGTATCCAATAATCCATACTTTTTTGGCGCTATTTTTTTATATCTAGACCTAAAATATCGATTTGGCGCCTGAGAAGTCGTCGTCAGCAAACATTATGCGATTTGTAAAGCAAATTTGTGAGATTTGAGACTCACATAACATTCAATGATCGCTGAGAAAGAGGGTATTTTTCACCAGAATAGAAAAAGGATTGTTGATTAATCAAATGTGGACCTTTTTGGAAATACAATTACGGAATTTATACCCCCTTTTTTAAATAATATGACTTACAAATAAGTATCAGGAGCCATTCGTGGCATTTTACAGTTCAGTTTATTTCATTTTAGTTGGCCTACAATTCGGTTAGTCTAGAGATTAAATTTATAGATAGGCTATTTCTCGTAAAGAAAAAGCATTTACAAATTACATTCTAATCAATTTAAAACGACTTTTTCGACTTTTTTATCTATTAGACCATGACCAACTTTGAGCTTATTACTGCAAAGGGTGTTTTATAATCTGGTTGTTTATATTTCTTCCAGCGGAGACAACCAAACTCAACATTACGACCGTCAGCGCTCATCTCTTGAACGCCATGGTGGTTCTTGTCGATCTGTTCGTCGTCGCCATACCAGTCCGTTTACTGCACATGTACATACCAATGGTTTATGCAACAGTTTATTTGATATTTGCCCCAATATACTGGGCCGCAGGGGGGTCGAATACAGCGGACGAATACAATCATATATGCTCGCCGATGGAATATACGAATATACCCGAAGTCGCTGCGGCGGAGTCGATTGCGATAGTTGTGCTAGTGATTCCTCTAATGCATTCGGTTGTGTTCTGTCTGTATAAATTGCGCCTATGCATTTACGGTGTTGCAGGAGTGGAGTACATTTTACAAAATCAAACTCAGCAGCAAGATGCGTTGCCTCAACAGGCGTCTGTAGCAGTTAATGCCAAAGAAAGGGCGACTTTTGACCATACACCCATAATTGTCTAATGAAAACTGGTAGACTTCTTGCAAATCCTATTTATAATATGTGATGTAAATATATAGGGATTATAATATACAGGTAGTTGGTGATAAATAAGTCAAACAAAAAGTTCCGACTTCATGCAAAATGAGGATAAAAGCATAAATTCCAGCGATGGAGCCAGTCTGAAAATATGTTTGCTAAATAAGATGCATTTGGCCCTTATTTAGCACAGTAGGAATATATACATGTAGGAGCCGTTTATTAGGACTTTCCCCAGAGCACAAATATCTGACGCCTTTGTTAAACAAGGTACACAGGCCTATATCAAAACTTGGTATTGTATTAGAAGCGATTCTTACTATTGTTTATTTCTAATTATGCATGAATAAGAATTCCATTTCTCAAGATAAGTCACGGGTAAATAAAAAAATTGAAGCACTGACTTGATTTCTTGTGATTTTTATATAACTTTACCAATTTCTCAGCTTGCAAGGTTACTTAAATTTTTAAGTAAATTTAACCAATTTCTACTCATTTTAAAAAGGTTTTGAAAAAGTGTGATATCTTTCTCTCGGGTCAGAAAAATAACATTCAACACATAAAAAGAAGCCAGCAATATTTGTATAAAGAAACTAAAACAAGTAATCATTTTTATTGTTCTTCCAACTTTCTGTTTAATATGCTCATAGTCTGCAGGTAACACATGTATGGCATGTGTATTAAGACTGCTGAAATGAAATTTAAAAACTATTCATTAGTGTTATTATCAACTATTTACGCCACAAAACTCTACAGCAAAACGTTGACTGTACTCGTACACTTAAAAATGTAGAAAATTGGATATAGACGTGCATAATATCCCTCACCTTATCAATGAAAATTATATACAATATTGCAGTCTATTTGTGCATGTACATGTGTGTGTGTGTGCATGCATGTGCGTGTGTGTGTGTGTGTGTGTTTGCATGGATCTTGTACATATCTACATTATTCTTTATAAACTATACAAGTATAAAGCACATCCCTTATAGACAAGAGATACATATGGTGAGAAAAAAATCTTAACTTCAAAATTTTACAAAATACATAAATTTTACATCAATCTTGGCTCAATAATGTCATAAAGCTATCTCAATCTGTAACATTGTGCTTACAGATTTCCTTTACAAAAATTTATAAACTAGCCATTTAAGTTCATTATATCAGCTCTAAATGCTAAAAAAAAACTTGAATGTTAAATGCTCAATACATTAGCAGCTCAAGTAATACAATTCCAAACCTATGATTTATGGGACCAACAGTGGCTGCAGTAACTTTTTCAAAGTAATAGAAAAAACAGACTTCACATTTTATGCAGTTTTAGATAAAAAAAAAAAATACATGAACTTTTAGGTTTTGTGTTTTCTTTTTGTATTCAGTCACTAAATGAAAGTGAATGCTCTATATTTTTGGCACACTTACGTACATGTAATTGTCTGACTCTGTGTACAAGCCCAGTACTCTAAATATGGCCAAAATGAACTTCTATAGTGAATATGCCATAAGACTTTGAAATTTGGAGTGAATATTGCAGAAGCTCAACATTTCCTCTTTGTGACACCACTTCTGGTTTATGACATCACTGTGACATCCCTTTTTCTGAATATCATTTCACTTCCTTTTTATTCAATCACAACCTTTTAGCAAATAATATTGGATAACTAAATGTCTATCACTCCAGTATATTTTTATGAGCTATTACTGTATGGTAACTTTATGAATACAAGTATAAAAAATTGTCTCTCCTTCTACACTGACACTATGCAGGGAGAGTTGCAATTTTTTTCATAACGTCATTTCCTGTTCACAAATTGTGAGACATCACTTCCTGTTCATGAAATAATTCCCATTTTGTGACATCACTTCCTGTTCATGACATAATTCCCATTTTGTGACATCACTTCACTTTTTTGACATCTCTGACAGCTTTGACTAGATATCCCTTGGCTTTAATGATCCCCCGGTCCTTGACCAATGCTGTGTAGCGGGCTATCCAGGATACTGACCAACCCTCTGAGTCTTTCTCTGTCGCTGTGCTGCAGAGAACGTCTTGGAAAGTCTTGTCTGGGAACATTTCTGTGAATTGAAAAAGGCAAAAACCAAATTAACATGAAATTGAATTATAATGAAATAAAGACAAAATAAAATTAAAGTGAAAGAAAAAGACAAAAAAATGTATAGTCACCAGCTGGATTCAAAAAGAAAATACGTGAAAAAAAGAAATTCGGTGTCATTTTCTACACGTTCAGAAGCTATCTGGGCTTGGTGAAATTTCATTGTCAGAAAAAAAAAAAACAACAACAACAAATATATAAATGACAAGAACAATGACAATGCAGTAATAAAAAGATCACATTAACACAAATGTAACAAATATCCATATTATAATGACCAACTGCTGGAATTATAAAATACAAGAAGAGACATCTCCAGTCTTGAACAGACAGCAAATCTAACAAATATACAGTCACTATTTCAGACAGAGAACCATATTCCTAAACACTTTGCCCACTGGAAAAAAATGCTATCCATCCCACTCATCAGACTGGTGGCTGATGGATGGATTAGGCATACAGTGTACCGTAAGTGATATAGTCATAGGATGCTGGCCCTGAGGAGGCAAATTTCAGACTTTTACATAGGCAGCAAACCTGGTAAATATACAGTCACTATGTCAGACTTGCCTTTGGGATCACTGTGAGTTAGTAGTTGTATATCCTGTTCCTTGGCATATTCTGTCAGATCAGGGGGCATTACACAACAGCTGGCCAAGTTGACATGGTTAATACAGGGCTTGACCTAAAAATCAGAAAAAAATAATAAGATGGAATGAACGTTAGTTACCTGATTCACTTTTCTCCTTTTCAGTATTGCTATTTTTTGCATTAAATGGTAGATTGTTCTATACATAAATAAATAGAAACAGATGTCCCCAAAAATTGCACTAACTCTTTGACTGCCCATTATACTAATCAATTTTTTTTTTGTTTGTTTTTTGAGAAAATAAAAGTTTTTAAAAATGTTTATTCAATTTGTTATTTTAATATAATTTTAATATAATTTTATTTTTTTAACTCGTAGCACTTGTATCAATGTCAATAAACAATTAAATCAAATCAAAATGAGTAATGTGAAGTCAAAGAGTGAGTTAATTATTTCAAGACACCCTGTAAGTGATCTGGAACTGGTGTGTCACAGGCAGTATTCACAACAGCGTACTAGTCCATCTACAGATAAAATATGGGGACCCACTTAAAAACTTGCTGAAGAATCCCCTAATACATATTGATAAGATTGCCTCGGAGATAACACAACAAGCACTCAAGTGGATCAGCCATATTTGTTCCGTGGATTGGATAATCCACTGTTGTGAATACGGCAACAGTTTCTCTTACCGTGGACCAAGTATGTAACTGTTCAAGTTCATCCTTGGCAAGGTCACTAATACCAATGGCGAGAATCTTCTCTTTTTCTACCATTCTTTCCAGTACTTCCCACAGTGTTTTTATCCCATCCATAGACACGGACTTTTGGTCTGGCTGGGACAGTGACAGTAGTACTGTCTCCAAACTGGTCACATCCAAGTCTGCCAAAACTAAAATAACATTTTTGCATATGTGTAGAAAATCTATAGTTACACCTAAGTCATCAAATGTTTTTAAGAATTTTTTGTAACTTTACTTAATCTACAAATATTCTGAGTTGGTGAATTTACAGTTCAATCAAGTCATACAAAATTCTTTATGCACTTTAAGTCTTCAACCCACTTGGGGAGGTGCTATGGCTATTTGATTGAAAGTTAATGGAATTATGAAATATCTTTTGAATCACAGATATGCAGTGCACACATGTGTGCATGCAAAAACAAATAGGGCTGATAAGTGATACAATCTAAGTGATATACGATACTAATACCAAAGGATGAAAGGTGATGAAATATATATGACATTATATATATAATAAGTGAAATTTTTATGTGATATAATATATGATAAAATACAATGATGTGCTATAATAACAAGTCATATAATACTTGATGTTATCTACCTTTTTCTATTGCATCTTCTAAAGCCAATGGATCTGGCTGAGTTACAAATATCTTCACTGTAAAATAAAAATAAATAATTAAAATAATTACATAGAAAAACCTACAGAAAAAAGAAATAATAACTTTGACTGATGCATTGTTTACTTCAAATTATGTAAATAATAATTTAAAAAAACAGGTACACACTGAGAATTTTTCTTTGCGAGACCTAAAAAGATATGATATTATCATATTATATGATATTACACCCATAAGCAAAATTTTAGAGCATTACCTAGCATAATTTATCTAGAACACCTGTTCAAATTTGAAAATATTCCCATTTTTGTTGATTTCTTGAAGGGTGAGTCTATATAAATTAAGACCATATGACAGAGAAAGAAAAAAACAAGTAAGCTTTAATAAAGTCTCAAGACAAAATATCTGTCCAAATCTTATGATGATATTCTAAAGGTGAAAAAAAAATACTAGGATTTTTCTTGAGAGCTATCCAAATGTGTAAAAATTGAAATACCAGTAATTTTGAGCTGTTCTCTATCATCTCCAGAGAGATTGCTGCTAAAAGTTGGATTTATACATTTCAGGTCAGTTGCATACTGAAAAAGGAAATGAAATATCTTTCATATACATGCATTGAAAATAAATCTTTAAAATAACATGCAGCAATTAAAATACTGATACACAGAAAAGAATAAAGAGGTACTAGTATGTACAGTCAAAAGTACATTATTACACTATAAGATTCTTTCACCCCATTTCCATAGAGTTTTAGATCGATCTATCCCTGTGGGGAGTCTCACTAGATTATTGTCAGCTTGGCCGGCTTAAGCATCTGTCCCACCTACTAAAAGCTGTAAGGGGGTAATTTACTATGGTGCCCGCTCGGCTGACTGCAATTTAGCGTGAACCCCCAGGGAATTAGGTCGATCTAAAACTTAATCTTTAGATTGATCTAAATCTCTGGGAAAGCACCCTTTGTGTAGTAAACCACATTGCAACAACCTGTCGACAAAGGATTTCTGTTCTAACAAATGTTAAATTGAAATATGACATCTAATATTGCACATTTTGATGTCAAAAAATTCCCCAATCTGTCAATTCTAAAGTTAATCTACATATTTTATTTTAAAATAATAATTCACAAAATAAAGGAAATCTACCTGTGCTTTAGTTTTATCCAAATCGTTGAGCCAAGACCCCACAGTGGCACTTATACACTCTTTCAGCTAGATTAAACAGAGAGAAACATTATAATTATGATTATTTAAAATAATAATAATAATTAATTAATTAATATCTTAGTAAACGCAAGGTTGATCATTTTTATTATCTTCATTATAATCATTATTATTTTAGTACGACATTGAAAATGAAAGAGAAAAGTGAAAGTTCACCATGACAAAGCAAATTTTAAAGACTTTTTGTTACTCCCAGTTACATGTTGACTGCCTATGTCATTTGTAAACAAAGACATTCACGTTGTTTTCACAAAATTGGTACAACGTCATGGTACCAAAAGCGACACAATATTACCTCATCTGTGGGCGTGTGGTTAGGCTTCCTCTTCAGACGATTCCAATTCACAATACTCCCGGTATTTATCAAAATCGACCCAGCCTTAGGAAAAATCGGAATTTCGTCGGCCATGTTGAAACTAGGTTAGTGATTAAGGTAAAGGTCATCCAAGAAGAGCTACATTCTAAAATGCGTTTACTGTAGAAAATATAACCACCGGTGTGAGCACACTTAGGCAAGAAACAGCCGAACATGTCAACAAACTGCAGTGCGTTCAGTTGCAGAAATGACAGAAGATACCGGAAAAGGTAGTATATTTAAACAACAGCAGTGGTAGCGTTAGTTGCAGACACAACACAGAAAGTTCGCTGGACATTTGGGGCTAGATTGCTTTAACATGTAAATACCCCTTCAGTTATATTTTTTAATATAAATTTAAAGTACTCAGGATTATCAGTGTTATATTTCTAAAGTAATAATAACCGTACATTATAGCAAACCCCCTCTGTCCCATAAGATATATGTACTAGTATGTCATATTGATAATATTATACATATATAAACGTTGTCCAGCCTCATAAACATACATGTAGATTGTGGCAGTGCCGCAGCTGTGAGAATTTGGTTTTATATTCATCTAAAATTTTTTTTTAAATAATTTTAATATTATAATACATTAAAATAAAATTCTAAACATAGGTTGTGGCAGTGCCACGGCCTGTAAGTTTTGTAAATTCTCAGTTAAAAATATAAAGATAAATTTACATGCATATATATTACATGTACACTGTATATGCGGTTTTCAGGTGCATTGTTATGCCCCATGTAATGGAGTTACAGATGCATGCACCCCGTCCAGATGAGTATCTCAAGTGGCAAGTGAAGATTGACCGTCTTGGTTACACTGTCAATGCCAACACAAGAATATGCAGTAATCACTTTAGGTTAAGTAAAATGACAGCTGCTTTTGGGCAGTTAAGCACTTTGTGTGGTGAATAAAATTGCCAACATATTGACCAGTAGAATAACTATAATTTTAGTAGTCTGATATTCTTTGTACATGTAGTTCTGTACAAATACTAGTAAAATAAAAACCAGGTACATTCATACTTTTGATAGATATTGTATCTTTTTTTATTGCAGTGGTTTATGATATCAGTACTATTGTAATGTTGAATTTGTGGTAAAACATTGTTTTCACTTTTCAGATATGGGAAACCACTAGCAGGAAGTCGCATTCCCACCATGTACTTGAGATGCTATCCAGAATGGGCACAAAGCAAGGATAGTGCAATATCAGCAGCCACTAAATTCTCTGATCACATAATCTGTGAGGCACTGGCTCACGTTGCTCAATACCTACCATTGACAACTGCACGCTGCCTTGCACTAAAATATCTAGGAACGGATCTGACTGATGTTGACGATCTGTGTCAGATTCTGCTACAGCTTGAGAAAGAAAAGGCCAGGGAAATTCTCCCAAAGTTTGCTGATCATGTTTTTCCTGGCAAAGTCTTAGAGGCTGTTGCTATATTCCAGCATGGTGTTATTTTTGATGGCGTGAAGCTTGTAAAAAGGAGGGTCACTGAGCCTATGGACACATCTGAAAAGATGATATGCCCTCCGTACTCTATTGTGGATGTTCACAACTACAGCAAGAACTATGCCTCTAAAGGGAACAATTTGCCTTCTGATCCACAATGTTCACAGGATTTAGAGGCGAAGTGTACACATGCAAAGTCTCGATGCAAGCGCCCATCGTGCAGGGCAAAAGTGGAAAGGCTTGAAGAAAGAGTGAAAGAGTTGTCACAATACGTTGATGATCTGAACAGTGAGAAAGCAAGTCTCCTAGAAAGAAATCAAAGTCTGCAATTTGATCTTGAAAAGTTGCAACAAAAAATAAAACAGCTTGAAAAAAGTTAGTTACACGTTATGGCAGCATAAAATATGTCAAAAATTCAGATAAGCTTATTGCATTACGTACTTTCCCCCACCCTTCATTAAGTTAACCTTTTATTATGTACAGACACAGATGTGTCTGTACATATTTTATTTAATTGTGTGAAGAGAATGAGTTTTACTAAAATAAATATGTTGATGAAAAATCGTTTTTCTTGGATATGCCTGAGTATCAATAAATTTGGTGTTATTGATTTATTGTGTTCTTTCCGTTTAAGTAAAAAGGATGAATTATAACAGAATGGCAAAGAAAAAGCAGCAGTTTCGAAAATGGGGAAACTTTAGATCACATGAGTGTTCCCTTCTTTATGCAAAAGTGAGGTCTGTTCAACAAATTAATGTCACAAATGCAAGTCATAATTAACAAAAAAATATCGTACTTGCTATTCACCCCATCTTTAGAAAAATCGGTGATAGTAAATTCTAGTGGCTTTAATCCGACTCGCGGAAAGTCTAGGTATCGGCTCGAATTATTCCCGGAGAAAAAAAGCTACGCAACACCGCAGCTTTGTTTCCAAAACCAAAAATCTATTCATTAAGATTAAGATAAGAGTTTATTTAGCCAATTATAAAAATTGGAAATCAATTTCTTTTTGGAGCAAGTTTGATATTATATAGAGTAAAAGTAATACAACAGATAAATTAAGACCGTTTTCGAGATCAAATTAAAACGAGTCGCTGCACTTGGATAAAAGCTGTTTAAAAAACGTTTACTGCCTTTAAAGCTTGGTTAAAACGTAAAGTGATGATGCAAGATGAAAAAAAAAGAGTCTTCCATGGTGTTAACAATTCTTTTCTTTATCCCGTCTTTAAAAATTACCAGAATATTGCCTGGTTTTATGGAAGAAATCGCGAAATCTTAAATTAAGTTTAAGTGAGATAAGGTACAAATTAAGAGAAGAGAATTTCGACTGATAATTAAACGAGCTGGGTGTGCATACATGCGACTCATGTCTGGTGATTATTATTTCATCTGTACACGTTTCCCAGCAAAAAGAAAAAGTATTGATTATGATTTTATTCAACTATTATGTACAATTTGAACAGTAACATTAAATTTGAAAAAATACTTTAGTAATCACTAATGAATTATGTAAACACAATGAATCAATAAATTATAGTATTATTTAAAGTTTTAAGATTTTCTATTCCTGTTTTTATCATCCAACATCAGAACCCAAACAGTCCGACAAAGCTGGTCTTGTAGTCGAAAGCTGGTATCCGATGCTTGCGGGCCGTGGGGAAAAACCCGTCTAAACCCTTCGTGGGGAATGCCGGGAAAATGCCCACGCCCGGATACTGCAGTCTTTTTAACATGATAGCTTCTTTACCAGCACGGCGCTTAGCTTACAGTTCAAGAATATCGTCCAATGTTAGACAGCGTACTGCCACTGAGTAAACTAAGCCTTTCTCTCCGTGACTACAAACTAATCTCTATACTGGTGCACATGATGAAGCACAAGAATTTACTTAAGTAATTCCCACAGAAAGAGGAACTGCAGCCAATTAAGGCACATTAACTACAGTCTTACATAATTAAACCGAGGATAATTTTAACTAATTTGAAGTCATAAATAAAGTGACTAAATATTTTTACAAGTGCAAGCATCCATCAAAACTTAAATATATAGTTCATTCTAATGATAAAATACTCAGGCAATATGCTTATAACTCGGGCATCATTTAAACCAAGCTTTGACATATGACTCGGTTTAAAAATAGAACTTTCTCAATGTAATTTTGCCCTGAAATCGCAACTACGTCAACTACGTATACATGTATGATACAAGTAAAGAATAAAGCAAGCTTGCTTCGAAATATTTCGGATCTCACATTACACTGTATGACCGTCCATGTAAATTTCAATATGATTTTTTGGTCCGAAGAAAATGGTGCATGTGATGAATTGGATATGCTTGTCAACTATAACACTTGAGAAAATCGTAATATTAGTAAAATTAGTAATGTGCGATCCTCAATCTTGAGAGATGACTGTGTGCACCCAGTCATCCCTCACGAGGAGCAGACTGTGCAAAAAATATAATGAAACATTTTCTCAAACGTAAAATATTTCATTACAGATTTTGCACAAGCTATCAATGTAAAACCTCTTCATGTAAAAGCATTTACACCAAGCCAGATTTTACAGTTGTGAGATATGGTTAGTGTGCGGGTTATGATCTTCTCAAACGCTATACTGACGAACAGTTCCACATCATCAAAAGCACAAATTTGAAAAAATAACTACATCACTAACATTGGAATAAAACACAGACGGCCATAAGTGGTTGTGATACCAATGTTTTTGTAAGCAAAAATCTATATGCATTTAGAATGTGGATAAAACATCTGGATATTCGATTTTATTTTTTAAAATAATTATTATAATAACTGTAGAGTCAGACAAAATTTTCATACAGAACCACCATCTTATTCAATTGATCATTTATGGAATTATTAATGATCACCCTGAACTTCAGTTTTCTCTTAAGCTATTGAAATAAAATGGTTCCCTGACAGAAGTGAAAAAATAAAACCTACTAATTGCAATTACACCGACTCATATCCGTGACCCATGAACCGCAAAAATTCTCAATATGCAAAAGACTTGAGCACAATATTAGATTGTATTCCTCTTACGTTCAGTATATCGCTCTGCATTTCCATTCCACATTCTTTAATTTTTTTTTTTTTTTGCAGACAAGCTGTGTCCTTAACAGCCAAGACTGCAAGGACGTCCGATCATCAATGAAAGTGGCTACAGGGGTTCGTTGCTAGCGCCTTAAATGTTTCACATCTTGAACATTTGGTCTAGGATTGATGGTATCTGCTCTCGGGCATCATTTCTGGAAAACTGCCTTTTCGTTGCCTATAAATGAAATGTAACATGTTCACACAAAAGTATGAAAAGCAACGGAAAGCTACCAGTTATTGCAACAAATACATGATTGTCACCGATATTTATTTGACAAGGCTTTGGTGCTTACCATGATAAGAACAAAACGTACAGTTAAAATGCGTTTCCTTTCTTTAAAGTGAATTTTTAGACTCAATAGACAACAGTTTTCAAAGCAAAAAAAAATATCATTTCAAAAACGAAAAAAGGAAAGAAAAAACGTTGCTCTATTGAACAGCAATGAGTACCTGTGCCATGTCTTCACCAAACTGAGAAGAAGGCCTTCAAGTCATCGTCTGTGCTCTTCCAGGGCAAACCCAGCATCATCAGGTGACTGCACTTCTTGCTGACAAGCTTCTTTGTGCTCACGTTGGGATTTTTCAGGGTCTCTTCTCCTTTTCGTTTAGTTGTCTAAATGGTAACACTTCCAATTATTACTAAGACAGTTTATTGAATTACCGAGTTTTCAAAAGAGCTTTTAATTTGAAATAATTCTTAATTTAACTGACAAAGTTGAAAGATATCTATAGAATGAATGACAATTCAGTTCATTGCTGACCCCTTACCCTGGCCCATAACTTACCTTGGATGGTTTTAAATCCCAATGGTGTCACAACAAGGCAAGGACTATTGAATCACACATGCTGATCTAGCTTTCTCCACTTTAACCTTGTTAAACCTTGTTAAAGTGGACAAGCATACGACCAGGCTCTCGCCAATGCTATCTGCTCCCCTAACTTAAAAACAAATTTATAATATATCAGTCTCCCTATTACCTCTTTCCTCCACCCAACCCACTAACCTTAAAAAGTTGAGCCTTTTGTTTGAGTTTTCAAAGGAGCTTTTGATTTGATTTAATTTTTAACTGTTACAACATTCCTTTAAAATGTTAAGACCTTATTAATAGAAATATAAAATCAAAATCCAGTTTAGTTATTGAAATTTGTATTTGGACCACTGAACCCCGATTCCGACCAGTAGATTTTAGAAAAATTCCAAATGGCCAGTAAGCTGATTGGTTTATGGCAAAGATAACAACGGAAAAATCATTATAGTCTTTTTTTCTCCCCCAAAAACACAGGTTACCTTGCAATTGTCAGATGGAGCTCTGAGAATTGACAAAAATCGACGCTTCCCCCGATGCAGCCATCTCGTAGACAGACCATGGCAGGACTCGCTGGACGCTTCCCCCGATGCAGCCACCTCGCAGACACACCATGGTAGGGCTCGCTGGACGCTTCCCCCGATGCAGCCACATCGCAGACACACCATGGCAGGGCTCGCTGGACGCTTCCCCCTATGCAGCCACCTCGCAGACACACCATGGCAGGACTCGCTGGATGCTTCCCCTGATGCAGCCACCTCATAGACAGACCATGACAAGACTCGCTGGACGCTTAACCAATGCAGCCACCTCGAGTTCTGTAAACAGAAAGAAAAATGGATTATTGAGGTTTCTATACTCCCCCCTCCCAATAACACAATACCTTTAAAGATCTTCCATCTCGGTGAAACACCACATGCCTTGGACGCTTCCCCCGATGCAGCCACCTCGCAGACACACCATGGCAGGACTCGCTGGATGCTTCCCCTGATGCAGCCACCTCGCAGACACACCATGGCAGGACTTGCTGGATGCTTCCCCCGATGCAGCCACCTCATAGACAGACCATGACAGGCCTCGATGGATGCTTCCCCAATGCAGCCATCTCAAGTTCTGTAAACAGAAAGAAAAATGGATTATTGAGGTTTCTATACTCCCCCCTCCCAATAACACAATACCTTTTAAGATCTTCCATCTCGGTGAAACACCACATGCCTTGGACGCTTCCCCCGATGCAGCCACCTCGCAGACACCATGGCAGGACTCGCTGGACGCTTCCCCTGATGCAGCCACCTAGCAGACACACCATGGCAGGACTCGATGGATGCTTCCCTGATGCAGCCACCTCGAGTTCTGTAAACAGAAAGAAAAATGGATTATTTAGGTTTCTATACTCCCCCCTCCCAATAACACAATACCTTTAAAGATCTTCCATCTCGGTGAAACACCACATGCCTTGGACGCTTCCCCAGTGCAACCACCTCATAGACAGACCATGGCAGAACTCGCTGGATGTTTCCCCTGAT